TTTTTTTTTTTTTTTTTTTTTTTTTGCTGATCAATACACCTGATAAGTGATATTGATATTGCATATTTGGGCTATACAGAGTTAATTTTATTGACCACAAATGAATCCTTCTAAGTTTCAGAAGCCAGAGTATTTTTTTAATGTTATTATTACACATTATTTCCCCACACAAAGTTAATTACAATATTAAAGGAAATTGTTATTCTGTTCAATTCAGATTTGCCTATTCGGTCACGTAGTTTCTTATATCATGACCAGGGATTTTTCAAGAACGTTTTATGACCGCAGTGGATACATTTGCCAAACTGTGTCCACTGAAAGTTTTTGCATGTGAACCTAAATAGCTGGTGAGCTTCTGTCCTTTCTGTCTTTAGACTTTTAGTTTGTTTTTTTTTTCACCCTAGACTTGACATGTAATATCCAAGTGTAAACCCTATTATTTTACCAAATTTGACTGAAGGTGAAGTTCAGTGTGCATTAAACTATGTACAGAAATATATATATAAAAAAAAAATTAATAGGTTCATTAGAATGTATTATTTTCCAAATCACTTTTTAGTTATTATATAAAGATACTGCACAGTTCAGTCATGGAAACATATGACTACATCTGTTAGACTTTCCATCACATAAACCATATTTTGAAGTCTTTGTAAAAAAACAAAAAAAAAACAAATTCCCTATCGGAAATAACACAAACAACAACAGACAATTTAACTCAGGATTTGTACTTATTTATTTATTTTATTAAGGTTGAAAACAGACAAAAACAAGGTGTCCACGTTGTCCGTCACTTCCTGCTTTATTAGCTGTTCATCTGTACTTCTCGGACAGCGCACGGGCCACGGCAGCCAGGAACTTGTCCATGGCCACATGGACCTCAGGAGTGAAGTCGGTGGGGAACATGATGGCCAAAACCACAAGGATGTTGTGGGAGAGAATCTGAGGAGAAAAACCAACTGTAAAAATCTTGCTTTTTGTGTGAAGTTTGAAGCGCAGTAAATAAACTTCTCTTTACCTTAAAGTTGGCAGGGTCCACTCTCAGAGTGAAGGCATGCAGCTCGCTCAGGCTCAGGAGACCTGAGGTCAGGTCGTCGATTTTGGCCACAGCTTCAGCTACTCCACCCATCACCGTGGCTCCGTGCTTCTTCACTGGAGCAGAGCCGGGACTCATGTCCTTCCAGTGGGAGAAGTAGGTCTTGGTCTGTGGGTAAACCACCAGCATCCTGTACAAAACAAACACTTTGAACGCATGCAATATATGTAGCTCCTGCTTCTTCTTTCAGAGCCATGTTTACCTGGACAGAGCATCTGCGCCGATGGCCTCGCCACTGGAAGAGATCTTGGCCCAGAAGGCCTTCACTGTTGCCTTGTCCTTCGCAGAGAGACTCATCTTGTCTGACAGTTAAGTTCGAATGTGGAGTTTCAGCGCGAGAACAGGAGGTTTTATAGACGGAAGAGGACAGGGACACACCCTGGTCACCTCTGAGATTATCTGCACCCAGAGTTGTTCCAGCCAAGATACGAGATAAGGACAAAACCGAACTGTAACGGTCACTTCGAGGACCCAGGCAAGAATCAAACACCACAAGTTACAAATGAGTGACTACACAAGTAACAAGAAAATTGGCCTGCAGATAATGGAAGTTAAATTTATCAACATAAAGAATGTAGTTTTATATAACTTTTATTCTTATGAGTTGTTCACGAAGAGTATTAGTAAAAAAAAAAATATACAAATAATTAAGATAATTAAGAATATGTCTACATATACTTTATAAATTTGCTCTGTTAGATGTCAGCTAATTATTTATTTTATTGATTATTCCTCCATAATTGGAAAGAGTGAAATGTCTCTAAACAAGGCAATAAAATGTGGGCAATAAAATTTGCAAATAATGAATATTTGCAGATAGTATATACATATTCATTACCCTCTCTAGGCACAGTTAGATCTGGGCTTTTTTTTTTTAAAGTACTCAAACTCAGTTGCATTCCCCTTGATCTGACATTCCTATTTCTAATAACTGCACAGTATCTTTTATGTTATAATATTATTACTAGTATTACATTATTGTTGGTTGTTCATCTTGTTTTTCATTATTTAAAAACTCAGCTTGGCTGAGCAACCCCATGTTTCAAGATCATGACAATGCCTCTATAATGACTTTTATTTATTTTCTATTTGTCTCTCAAACCAACACTTGTTTAATCTGATCATGAATTTGTTTGTTTAATTATTTATTTTTGATATTCTTTCATTAACTTGCTTATTTAATTATATTTTTTATGAATTGCTCTTAATTATACTGGGTAACAAATGCCTTGAAACGTGCAATAACTGCATGCAAATTCAAGCAGATGGTGTGATGCAGTGAAAATATTACAGAAAATTGCGAGGCAGAATTGTTTAATCCCCATTAGAAACAGATCAGAGGCAATTAAAGTTAGTTAGTTACCCTGAAACACTGACTGATCTTGTCCTCAGTCCCAGATCTTGCTTCATTGATAAAACAGTGTTGGTTCAGTCATAAAATAATTGTAATGATCAAAGACCTTTTCTTGATCATTGTGCACTATTTGCTTCATTTGGTGTTTTCCCATCAGTTCTTAAAATCGATGTATCAAGACGCTAAGATGTGAGCTCCCCTCAAACTCCACCCGTCTGATAACAGTGGGAGGAGCACAGCTGGACGTATATAAGTTGGATCTCCTGGGCCTGCTGACCCACACCAGACAAAAGGGAGCGAGCAAACAAAAACTCCAAAATGGTCAAATGGTCAGACTTTGAGCGTGCCGCCATCCAGGACATCTTCTCCAAGATCGATTATGATGTCGTTGGTTCTGCAGCTTTATCCAGGTGAGACTTTGCTGCATCTTCATGTTTCTGAATAAAAAAAAGGGGGGGAAATATCTGCAAACAAAATATTTCAAATGTTTGTCTCTTCAGGTGTCTGATTGTCTACCCCTGGACTCAGAGGTACTTTGGCAGCTTTGGAAACCTCTACAACGCCGCGGCCATAACATCAAACCCCAAAGTGGCGGCTCACGGGAAGGTCATCATGGCAGGTCTGGAGAAAGCTCTGAAGAACATGGACGACATTAAGACCACATACAAGGACCTGAGCGTGCTGCACTCTGAGAAACTGCAAGTGGACCCCGACAACTTCAACGTAAAGCTGTTTTCTTTTTGTCTTTGCACCACGGGTATTAATATCGTTGCTGCTTTCTGATCCATGCTGTGTTCTGTTGCAGCTCCTGGGTGACTGCCTGACCATTGTTGTAGCCGGTCAGTTGGGGGCAGCCTTCACCCCTGAGGTTCAGGGAGCTTTCCAGAAGTTCCTGGCCGTGGTGGTGGCCTCTCTGAGGAAGCAGTACCACTAGAGCCTTGTGCCTTACAAAACTGAATGATTAAATAAAAGTCATTTTTAAGAAAAAAAAACACCTGTCTCTTTCCATTTATTTCTCATCGCACAAAAGCACAAATGTCTATCATTTTTGACTGACAGTAAACTTTATCCTAATTTAAGGTATTCGAACAACCTGAAGGTCTTAAAGAATTGCCACATACAAATGAAAGTATCTAAAGAGAATCCATCCAAGAAAAGTAGTGTGATCTTTCTCTGTTCCCAGGTGTGGGAGAAAAATTCAAATTGTCAACATTTCATTCCGTAAATGTTTCATTCTTTGGGCTGGTCTGCTAACGCAGACTGTGCACAACTCTTGGGAATATTAACTAAAAGCCAAAGATAGCTTAAACTGCAGGACCGTTGGAGATCATGATAAGTTTTCACACATTCAGATTTGTCTTTCCATCTTGAATAACAACTGTTTTTGACTACAATGTAAACTTACAAAAAGCTCTGAATATATTTAAAAAGAAAAGACGTGTATTTTACACTGAATTACTTTCACATGTAATGCCAAACTTAGTAAAAATCTTATCCAATCTAACTGGATGACAAGTTCAACTCAAGTGTGGATATATGAAGTTAAGTTTTTATTTGTTTTATTTATTTTAAACACGTTCCAGACTGTGTAACAAAAATATTTTATTATGTCCAAGTTTGCCTGTTCTCTAGATCAGACTCATTTTTTTTATCACCTAGAAAAAAACTCCCCATTACAGTCATAATTATCCTCAGTCTTCACATTGCACACTGCAAGAGCACAACATAATTGACTTTTAGAAATAGTTTAGTAACTTAGTTCGGTAACACTTTATTTGAAGGGGGTGAATAAGACTGACATGACACTGTCATAAACACCTGTCATGAACATGAAAAAGCTTTCATGAATATTTATGACTGTTGTCATAAAGCGTCATTCGGTAAATTATGACACTTTTAATACAAAGTTGACATTATTCAAAATGTCTTTGTGGTGACAACTTGACATTAACCAAGAAATCATTACTGATATACATTTGTTATAAAAGTATTACTGATTGCACTTTAAAAATTAGGTAACTTTATGTTATTAAAGGTAAAGTTTAAACATGATTTATTGGTTAATGTCAAGTTGTCATAACAAAGGCATTTTGAATAATGTCAACTTTGTATTAAAAGTGTCATAATTTACGGAATGACGCTTTATGACAACAGTCATAAATATTCATGAAGGCTTATTCATGTTCATGACAGGTGTTATGTCATGTTCATGAAAGTGTCATGACAGACTTATTCACCCCCCTTCAAATAAAGTGTTACCCTTAGTTTTATTAAACTGTTTTGAATAACTAGCTCTCTTTTTTCTTAACTTTATTTATCCTTTACGTTTATTCTGACTGATTTGCTTTGGATCGACAAGAGTACTTCTAAAGACAAGTTCAGTTTAATAATCAATATTGAAGGAGATGTCCTGGATGATGGTATGCTCGACGTCTGTACATTTAATAATTTTGTTGCATTATTTATTTATTTTGTGGTATTTAGATTTGCTCCTTTTGTCCAGTGTGTCTCCTCTCCTCCCATAGTTATCAGATAAGTGGAGTTTGACAGGGTGTCGAATAACAGTTGATTTATGGACCCTGACGTTGGGGCAAGAAGTGCACATTTTAGGTTGTCTCTGCAGCTTGAACCTCATCTATCTGTGCCGCTACTTGTAATGCGCTGCCTATGGACACTTGATGCTTTTGGAAAATATAGTTCAAAGCTTTAGTTTCTTTTATTTGTCTAACAGCACAGCTTCCGGATTTTCTATCTTGTTGCATATTTTAGTTTTAAAGCTCTGACCACATTGTATTTCATTAAACCAATGTATTATCTACTTATTAGAAGCTTATTTTTTCCAGTGGCTTTGCATCAGAAATGAAATTCATAATCATGTTAGTAAATTTTAACATTTAAGTTAAAATATCTTTTATAGGTTGCAGACTGAATGCAAGACATGTTTATTCATTAGATATATATGTATGCATCATGTCCATATAAAACAAGTACATTCATAACACAAAGAGAAGAAGGAAAGAGTAAAAGAAAACCAAGCGTTTTAAAAGCGTTTATATATATATATATATATATATATATATATATATA